GACTATTACTCAGTCATATGACTATGAGTAAATCCGTTATTAATATTATCATTGAATGTTTTATTTGACCACATTTTTACCCTATACTTACTACATTATTTTGGTTAGTAATTTTATTTTACTAAGTGACAATGACTTATTCTGAGTAAATTGTTTTATTAATTCTCCATCTAAGTATGTATCATTGTCAGTATGGCTTTTATACACGATTTAGTTAAAATCTTGATTGGTTTGACTAATTATTTGGCTACCACACTAAATTAAGTGTAATACTATGTTTTATTGTATGTATATTACCTGTAACTTATGAGTGATGATGTTTAATTGGCAGTATATGGCCTTAGTCATATACAATTGGGTATTTCAAGATTAAGACCTTGACTTATCTATTGCATACGTATTCGTCACGTGATGTGGGCAGCATTGCCTTAATCATATTAATGGCAACACAAATATTGAAGGGTTTAATTAATTATTTTGTTACCTTATTTTAGTCGAATATATTGTTATGACTCATTGTAAACATGCATAAGTTTTTTTATATATATATATATTGATATAGTTTATGTTATGTTGGCTGTATGGCCTTACCACTATGTTTACATTTATGACAATATCCCAAATATTGATGACGTGGACGCCATCTTTTTCGGGGGGGGGGGGAGCCATGTCACCACGATCTGTCAAGACCCTACAATTCCCTCTCTATGGTTTAGTTAATTATGGGTTACCTTAACATTGATATGACATCTTAGAGCATAGTCCTCTTAACGAGTATGTATTCTAATAAGAATGAGACTGAATGGAATAATGTGTCCTACTGGTAATATTTTAATACATGTATATAATTAATATTATAAGCCTATCTTCTATGTCTATAATCTTCTTTGTATTCTTTTAATATTTTAATCTGTGTCTAAATTGTTGTGTTTATGTTAATTGTAATATAGGTATCTAGGGGCTACATCTTCATAGATATAAATATGGAGATGGCCCCATGAAGGAATCAAGTTAGGTAGGAGACACAGGTAACAGGCTACATTTAACTTAGGCCAACTCTTGAAATTATACCTCTTAGTTGTGCATAATTCTATATAGTTATAATTTAGTTCTGTGTAATGTCTGTTATAATTGTTATTACTGTATCTACATAAAGTTCTACAACTAACTGAATCAAGTGTTATGATCTATGATGAATAGCCAACAGTACTAAGAACCAAGCTGGTTACAATATATTGCCTAACAAGCGAATTTGTACCATTTGGATGCCAGGAGCCATAAATTAATTAAGAACGCTCTGTGTGTGAAATGGTTTTATTTGACATACGCTTCCACCTAACTGATATCGCAGACAAGAAATTAGTGTTTAACTAATCTTGGACTTATAGGACTCTTGAGTAACAGAAGTTAAAGAAAAGAAATCATAAAAGTAGTTTTGGAGTTAAAAGAGTCTGAATAGGCTCTAAAAAGGAAAATACTACATTTTCGGCATCCCATGATCTATTAGCTAACCATTGCATTTGTATCATTTGGATGTCAAATAATAGCCCATTATTAAAGCTACCCACCAATACCTTATTTGTTTTGATTCGATGACATCTGGCGTAGTAGTCTCTTTTTTCGCTAGAGCACCATTTTTTTTACTTTTACGATATTTTTTTCAAAATATCAGATACTTTTTTGACTACTTCCGGTTTTTGGATCATTGTCGGGATAACTTTAATGAGTTAAGTGGATACGTAACTTCCTGTAACAGAGGTGTCAGAAACATCCATTGAGTATTTTTTGGAAAAAAAGATAAATAAAGAAGTATTTTCAATAATTTGACGATTTTTCAACTCTTTTCAAAGATTGAGGCCATTTTTGGACCACCTATATTATTTCAATGTTTTTATTTCCAAAACGGAAAATACTAGATTTTCGGCGTACCATAATTTATTTCCTAACCATTGATTTCTTATCATTTAGATGTCATAAGATAGTTCATTTATGGGACTATCCAAAGCCACTTTAATTGTTTCGATCCACTAATATCTGACGAAGAATTCAAGTTTTTGGCAAGAGCACCAAATTTTTTTACCTTTTTTTTCTTCGTTTTTTGAACAACTTCCGGTATACGAATCATTGTCGAGATAGTTTTACCAAAGGGTTTAGGAACTTGAATGGTAGCAGGGCTCTATTATTATACTACAATATCTGATCAGACAAAATCCCCCCTGAGAAATCCTATGTTCAAAAGCGTCAAAAATATCAAAATGTCAAAATATCGAAAATTAAATTTCAATAACTCAATACATATTATACATGGTTAGAATCGTAATTAGGGCAGCTATCTGAATGTATAACTTTTTTTTGAAAATCTGTTACAATAAAGAAATAATAGAGCATTTTCTAAAATTTGACAATTTTTTAACTTTTTTCGATTTTCAGTCCGTTATTTTACCTATTCCAGACATTACAAAGTCTTATTGGATGGATTCATGCACACGACTACCGGAGGAAGTTTAAGAAAAATCCTTGGAGTAGTTTTCCAGATATTGGCGTCAAAAAACGCTCCAAATCTGAAAATACTTGATTTTCAGCATGTCATATTTTGCTGCCCTGTCATAGGATTCGTGTGCAATTGGTATCATATGACAGTCAAATCCCCGGGCCACCCAATGATACCTTAAAATTTCCCAAAAGCACCCATTTTTTGCGTTTTCTTCAAAATATAGGACATTTTTTCGACCACTTCCACTTTAAGGATCCTTGTCGAAATAGCTTTATCAGTTGGTTTTGGACTATAACTTCATGTTCCAGAAGTTTCAGAAACGTCGATTCGGCCGTAAAACGAAACTCAGGCTCACAAAATAGGTAGAAAATTTGAAAAAATTTGAAAAATAAAGGGTGATACCTCTGAATGAAAGTTATATTACTGGAATCGGATTGCCTTCAGGTATCCAAAAATTTAGGTCATATGTTAGTCCCGAAATGACCTAGTTGGTGTCGAGTGGACGTTAAACCCCATTTCTCTCTCTCTCTCTTTATCTAATCTCCCATAATGCCCCTTAAAGATTTTATGTTTTTCAAAATTTTTCTGTCAAGAATTTTTGAGGTACCCTAAAATGCAGACCTATTGTAGAAGCTGATATTGCTTCAACATTCAAGGATGTAATATTATTAGATGGACGAGAGCTGATGATGTCAGTATCATCTGTAGATTTGGAGCATTTTGTTGGTGACATACTAAATAAAATCTGATTTTCTTCTATCGGACGTTGACGAGGGCTGTTCAATTTTTCGCTATGACCTATGGCATGTGATTTGATGATAACTGACTTTCGACAACCCAAAGAATATAACGCATTTATAAACTGGAACAACAAACCTGGCTTCATGTATTAACGATACGGGCAACAGGAGTAAGAAAAAGATAAAACAGGCGTTATAATCCAATAATCCCAAACAAATCGATCGAGTATTATTCACAGTGTCTGCCATTTTGAATATATAGAAACCGATTCGTAATTAAAGATAAATAATTAAATCTTTTGTCTCTTAATTAGTTTATTACTACTCTTACTGTAAATAGTAATCAACACTAATCCGAGAATGATTAATAGACAAAAGATATCTCTATTATTGGTATCCAATTGATTGATAACTGACTCAGCCAAGTGCAATAGACGATAACGTGTATGCACGACGTGGAAATCAAAGCTTTGTGGCAAGAAAACTTTATCGTCACGGTCAAAAAAGAATCGCCATACAGGAAAAAGTTATCGCCAAAACTTTCGCCAGATTGAATATTTTATCGCCAAAATTATATTTTTATCGCAATTGGCGGAAATGGTGATTGACAGTGTGAGCGCTGCTTAGGAGATATCGCTTTACATGAATTTGATTGGTCAGTTGAAGAGGAACTACTTTTTTTATATTTTCAAGAACAGTTCATTTCTTATTAAAAGTAACTTTTTTTAAAATTAAAAATGAACTATTGTTATTCAATTGACCTTGATGGAAACACTGGGTCAATATAAAGGACTTTGTAATGGTTGAATTGCTGTCAAAAAATGATGTATCACTACGCCGTAATGTTTAGTAAAAGTGAAATCTACAGCAAAGTATTATATTTATCTATTTGTGCATGTTAGAAGGGATTGGGTGATAAATAAAATCTCCTACTCGTCTTTTTTGATATCAAAAAATATCAAATTGTGTTGATATTTTTTGATATCAAAAAAGACTGGTAGGAAATTCTCTATTTATCAAGTAACCACCACATGGTTTCCCCGATAGAAAATTGAACCCCAGATCGATATCTGTTTTCGATCATGGAGAAATAGGCTCCCGCAGTAAATAATAATAATAATAATTTTAGTAATCTCAATAGGCTTTCAGACAAAAGTCTGAAAGCCTAATAAGAATAATAATTTTAACAAAATTTTAACACAAGGTACGCAGTGTGAAACCCTAATTAATTTCATATTATACCCAAAAACACTGTAACATTGTGGAACTTCTACAAGGAGCAGCCAGCTAGCCAGCACCTCACTCTCCATATAAATTTTTTTTTTAAATTTGATAAAAATTGTAACCCGTATAGGGACTACAAGCTCAAAACACGATTTTTTGTACAATCAAGGGCCATAATTCAGGAAGTTACAATCTGATATGCGCAAATATCAAAAGAAAACAAGATATTTGGGTCATAAACATGCATTTAAGTTTCATTAACATCAGATTAAAGTTGTGACCTCTAGAGTGTACACATGCTAAAAACGAGATTTTTCGTACAACCATGAAGTTACGGTCCTATACATGTCAATATCGAAAGATACCAAGATCTTTGGGAGATAGACCTATATTTCAAGTTTCGTCAAAATCAGATAAAAATTGTGACCTGTAGCGTGTCCACAAACAAAATGTGAACAGACACACGGATGGATGTACGGACAGGGGCGACGACAATATACGTCCGCATGAAAATGTGCGTGTATAAAAACGTAGAACCCAACAGCTTTCAACCCTTTATTCAATATCAGATCAACTGTATAATAATTATGGGAAACAAACAGTACCATAAAATATCTCTCCCATTTAAACACTGATGGAATGGAAGTCATTATACAAACATAATGAGGTATTTCATTAAAATTATAATAAATTGAAAATTAAATAAATAACATTCGTTCTTTTCAAAAAGTAACCAAATATTATACTACATATTGCTTGGCGGTAAAAATGTTTCTTCTGGCAAAATGCATAATGTAGTTTAGGGATGAGCCAAAACTGATGTTAGAAGTGGTGGCGAATGCATATTATTCATTGAAGGAATCCCTATTTGATAGTCAACCGCCATAATTATTTTAAAATTGATTCTTCTTGTGTAGAGATTTTAAAAAAAAGAAGGGAAATAACTTTAGACTGGCTTGAAACAGAAAAAGACACACTGAAATCAGATTTTTACCATGCAAGGAAAAAATAGGTTGCCAGGCAACAACACATATACCGTCAGCAGCTAGGTAGTCTGAGTACTCCATACATTTAATCGCACAATGAATCTTTAAGTAAATAAAAAGCATACTCTTCATACAATACTGTATAATATCAATGGCGTGATGAGAAGATTCTATGACATAATTAAGGTAAATAACTCTATAAGTAGTTATTATAAATTGTTGTCGTTGTTATTCATCGTAACAATTGAAAACAAAGAACAGAAAGGGCCATAACTCTAGAAGTAATGAACAGAAATTGTTGAAATTCAAAAGGCTTCTTCGATTCACTAATCCAAATAATGCACATAAATTTCATACAGATCGGATGATAACTTTTGTCACAAGGTTCTAGTCGCAATTAACAGAAATTCAAGAGAGTTGGGGTTTAACGTCACTCGACACAAACTAGGTCATTTCGGGACTAACATATGGTTTAATTTTATTTCAATAATTTGCTTGCGCTTAGGGGTCTTTAGCAGTGGGAGGAAACCGGAGAACCCGGAGAAAACCCACAAGGTTGGACAGGCAACCCAACTACTTGTCATGTACAACTGGGGAATAGAAACCATCACGGCAGTTGACTCAATGACAAACCTTATGATGCAGCGCACACAAGATAACCATTCAGCCATCCACCCCCCCACCCCCCGTTAGAGCATTCACAAAGTGAAACTACTGAAATTAAATAGGATTCTTCATCTCACTGATGTAAACGACATATATCCATTTCAAAACATTCAGATTATGAATGTAGTCTGTAAAGTGTTCACAAGAAATTGTGGACGACGGATGGACTGAGGCAACGACAATCTACGGCCACATTTCCATGTGGGTGTATAAAAAGTATACAAGGGACCATAATCCAGTATGTTACGGTCCGACATGATTCAATATCAAAAGGAACAAAGACCTTTGGGATATAAACCTACATGTTAAGTTTCATCAAGAGAGGTTGCCAGGCAACGAAACATACGCCCACAGCAGCAAAATCGTTTGGGCAGTCAACAAGAGTTGTCGCATATTTTTACTTTTTCCGGTAATGAAACATTTATAATACATTAAAATCTGATTAAGAGTAACAACTCATTGAGTAATTATCAGAAAATCATTAGAATTTGTTCGGTTTTTATAAAGTTCTGCCCTATGCTAACATTTAGTATACGAAACATTTAATATCATGGATTTAGCTGTTCAAGTTATCAAAATTCATTGAAAATCAATATACTTGTTCGTCTCAAGACCTTAAACTCTGTGTATCAATCTGAAGTCAATCGGATAATAACTTTAGCCTCTAGAGCATCACAAGAATTTTCAAAGTGATCATGGGCCATAACTTTGGCAGTAATTATCGGAAATCGTTAAAAATCAATAGGATTCTTCATTCGTGACCTCAAACACTGCGTATAAATTTGAAGTCAATCGGATATTAACTTTAGCCTCTAGAGCATCACAAGATTTTTCAAAGTGATCAAGGGCCATAACTTTGGCAGTAATTATCGGAAATCGCTGAAAATCAATAGGATTCTTCGTCTCGTGACCTCCAACACTGCGTATAAATTTAAAGTGAATTGGATATTAACATTAGCGTCTAGAGCATCCACATGATAAGTAATTATCGGAAATCGCTGAAAATCAATAGGCTTCGACAATATGACCACATTTCAATGTGGGCGTATAAAAATTGGATACAAATTGTGACCTCAAGAGGGTCCAAATCCTTAGTAATAGATGCATTTACACTATTTGCGGATGGGGAACGGCCATTTTGACAGCAAGTTTCAGTCTGATTTTTCACAAAATTCAAACCCAACTGTCATAGTGTAAAGGTGATATATTTTTAACATCGCCTTAAAATTTTGACCTTTATAGAGAGACCACAGCCTTGGTATTACATACTTTCCACTATTTGCATACGGAAGCGGCCATTTTGTGCGGCAGTTTTGGTATGATTTTCACGAAATTCGAATTCAACCGTAATTATGGTGTAATTGCGTATAGCGGTCTTTAGTAATGGGAGGACCCGGAGAAAACCCACGAGGTTGGACAGGCGACCATACTACTTGCCACATACAACCGGGGAATTGAAACCACGCCAGTTGACTCAATGACAGACCTTGTGATACAGCACAGGCTACATTTTTTGTCTAACTACGATAACCAGGCTCAGACAGAAATTTTCAACATATTCCCTTTTCATTATCTATTTTGTAACTATTATTGCGAGAACTGTTAGCTCTTTATCTAATCTTACAAAATCCCCCATTTAGTAATTATCAGAAAATATTAGAATTTGTTTGGCTTCCATTTCTGCCCTATACTAACTAGTATACAAAATGTTTAATTTCAAGGGCCATAACTCTCAGCTTCTTCGTCTCACGACCTTAAACACCGTGTATAAATCTGAAGTCAATCGGATTTTAACTTTAGCCTCTAGAGCGTCCACAAGATATTTCAAAGTGATCAAGGGCCATAACTCGGGTAGTAATTATCGGAAATCGTTGAAAATCAATATGCTTCTTCGTATCATGAACTTAAACACTGTGTATCAATTTAAAATCAATCAGATATTTGCCATTAGCTTCTAAAGCGCCCACAAAATTTTTCAGAGAGGCCAAGGCCCATAACTCGGGCGGTACTTATCAGAATTCGTTAAAAATCAATAGGCCTCTTTATCACATGACCTTAAACACTGTGTATAAATTTAAAATCAATTGGATATGAACTTTAGCCTTTAGAGCGTCCACAAGAATTTTCAAAGTTAAATTGTGAGCATATAAAAATGGGCATAACTCATTTGACGAAATAGGACTCCTTATCTTGTCATGACTTTGGAACGGAAAGTCGCAGAACACTTAATATTTCATGACCCCAATGTTTCCCGCCAAATTTGATAGAAATATGTTTAAGTTGCAATTTCATATTTTTACGTTATATTTTTAAAATTTATTAAAATAAAGCCTTAAAATAGATGGTGTCTATAGACAGTCCTACCTTGTTAAAGAATAATCCTATTAATCCTATAATTCACTATTGCCAGTTGAGAAATTGGCAAAAATATCATTTTCCTCTTCAAATTCAAACGTTTGAGGATAGCTACCTCATGGTGGAGGATAGAAAACAAGGGAGGTAATTGTGTTATTATTTCCGGTATAAATGAGTTTTAAGTGTGAGAATGACACCTATGATCGTATAATAGTGAGTTGACAACCTATTGAGCAAAGGACATAGAAATAATTATGTTTTGACTTTCTTAGAAAATATGAAATTGTAACTTTAAAAAATATAGCCTCTAGTGTGTTCATAAGATTTTTGGCAACGGGGGAATAAGTTGCAAAACACTGAATATTGATAGGGTTCCTTTCATCATGCCTTAAATGCATGAATAAAATCTGTAGGTTTTAGGCATAAGGGGGGGGGGGGGCGTAACTCCGGAACAAAGAGTCGTGGAACCTTGAATATCGATAGGATTCATTCTCTCATGATCCAGAAAGTTATGGTCTGAAGTGCGCAACTATGGAAAGGGACTGAGGTCTTTGGATTATAAACATACATTTCAAGTTTCATCAAACCTTGGTATTACATACTTTTACACTATTTGCATACAAGGAGCGGTCATTTTGTCTGGCAGTTTCGGTCAGATTTTACGAAATTCGAACTCAACCTTCATTGATGTGTAACGGTGATATATTTCAACAGTTTTTAAAATTGAATACAAATTGTGACTTCTTGCCGGTCCATAAGTTAAAACTGCGATTTTTCGAACATTCAGGGGCCATAATCTAGAAAGTTACGTTTGGATATGTGCGATTATCGAAAGAAACCAAGATCTTTGTGATATAAACATAAATTTAAAGTTTCATCAAAATCGGATAAAAATTGTGGCTTCTGGAGGGTTCACAACTTTGATATACCATATTTTTACACAACTTGCGTATGAGGGGCAGCCATTTTGTTCGGCAGTTTTGGTCGGATTTTCATGAAATTCGAACTCAACCATCATTAGGGTGAAACGAAATGAAATGAAATGAAATGAAATGGGGTTTCACGACCTACTGTTTTGCTTCAAACTGGGCTAATGAAGACGGGCATATGCCATACAGTGTGCTATGAGGGAAATTTTGCCCGGACAGCGGCACTACGGCCTACTCTTATATCGAATTCCAACCATCAAGGGATCTTTTACGTGCACGCCAATGTGTACACGGGGCCTCGGTTTTTCGTCTCATCCGAATGACTAGACAGCTGTCCTTGTCAGGCCCTCCGTCCTGCATCACTGACAAGGGGGAACCACGCCGGAAAATCGGGATGAACTAGGGTGAAACAGTGATATATTTACATGTTTTTTTAAATCAGATAAAATTGTGACGGACGGACAGTCAGTGACCGCCCTAGACTCTTAAAACCTTTAGCCAAATTTTTAGCCAATTCAAAATTTTATTAGCCAATTCAGAAAGTTTTAGCCAAATATTTTATATCATTTTTATTCATATGTTTGTTAATTAAAAATGAAAATAAATGTGTGTGTGTGTTTGTTGTATTTTACGTCCGCTTCCACCGAGGTGATATCGCGGACAAAATAAATGTTTAATATGTACTTTTATTTTATGATCAGTAGTGGAATATCGCGTTTTATCAGTGAAATAAAAGTGTTATTCCACTGGCTAGTTGTTTTTACCTAAAATGATTGTAAAATCATAAAATAAATAGAACATTTGTCGTTTTGTCGTGAATAACATATTTTATTTCATCTCTAAGCAAGAAAACGTTTATGTTTTCACTCATGCTACGCATTCGTGAAAATATAAGTTTTCTTGCTTCTCGATGAAATAAAATATGTTATTCACTCTAAAACGACAAATATCCTCTATATATAGTACACAAGAATATTATTTTATCTCCTTGTTCATGCAAAAGTTCACATTATTGAGAGAATGAATGCAGATAACAAAAAAATGTTTATAGGACGTACTTCACAGTCACATGATTTAATTTACTTCATCGTCATAACAGAAAAGACACGACGATTCTTTTTAAGACACCGCTGATTTGAAATTTATGTCCGGTCCATCCATTTTTATAAGCATGAGGTCATTGAGGGTTAGCTCGACGGTCTCGGTTAAAGGTCTAATTTTTGTCCACATGTTGATGAAGCCAACGAAGGACTTGCGTCCGAGATGACACGCTCACTCACGGAAGTGGATTCTGGACTAACAGTAGTCGTAGGAAGGAAAAAGGAATCTATCCTTATTTTGGGTTTACTAGTATTAGTTGTCATTAATGTGCGTTTTATTTATTTGCTGCGTAAGTAAAGAAAACTTGTAGTGAAGCGAATGTAAACAACGCAGTGCCACACAAAAGGGGCGTAACTGTGTTTTATAGTCTCCAGACTCGATCTTTCGGTCGTTTTAATGCGTAATATTGTAACATTGACTGATTTGCGACTTGTAAGATTGAGACTAGAGTAATTAATGTACTAAAAATAGAAACTCCATCGAGTCGATCGAAAGAAGCGTTTAACGAGACGATTTCAAGTTTAATATTAGCAGATTTACGAAATAACACTCTCTAAAATTCATTCGCCAAATTTTTCGCCAGTATCATCACTTTATTCGCCAATAAAAATAATTGTCGCCATTGGCGAATTGGCGAATGTCTAGGGCGGTCACTGGACAGTGGGAACGACAATATACGTCCACATAAAAATGTACCCTCTATTACATTCACAAGGTTTTTGAAAGAGATCGACAGAGAAAGGCGGAAATCAACAGGGCTCATCCTCTCATTGCCCCCATCCCCCCCACACTCATCCGATGAGTGCAAATATCGATGAGTGCAAATATCGAAAGGAACCCAGATCGTTAGGATATAAACATATTATTTTAAGTTTCATCAAAATCGGATAAAAATTGTGACGCCTACGATCCACAACCTTGGCATTACATATTTTTACCCTAATTGAGTATGGGGAGCGGCCATTTTGCCGGGCAGTTTTGGTCTGATTTTCACTAAATTCAAATCAACTGTCATTATGGTGTAATGGTGATACATTTAAATGTTTTTTGTTTAAATCGAATAAAAATTGTGACCTCTAGAGGGTCCACAAGCTAAAATCGCGGTTACTCGTACAATCAGGGGTCATAATCCACAAACTTATTGTCCGATCTGCGTGAATATCGAAAGGAACTGAGATATTTGGTATATAAACATATATTTTAAGTTCCATCCAAATCGGATAACCAGTGGCTGCCAGGCAGGATACACCCACATTTTCGAGAGATGGATAGAGAACAAGCTAAAAAAGAAAGTTATTTTTCCTACAATCATGGGCCATTATTCAGGAAATTACAATTCGATATAAGCGAATATCGAAAGGAACCGAGATCTTTGGGTTATAACCTTACATTTCAAGTTTCAACAAAATCAGATAAAAATTGTGATCTCTATAGGGTCCACAACCTTAATATACCATATTTTTACCCTTATTTGAGAACGAAGGGCGGCCATTTTGTCTGTCAGTTTTGGGCCAATTTTCACGAAATTTGAACTCTGCCATCCTTAGGGTGTAACAGTGATATAATAATACATTTTTTTAAATCGGATAAAAATTATGACCTCTGTAGGTGTAGGGTCCACAAGCTAAAAATGCGATTTTTCGTACAATCAGGGCCATTATTCAGGAAGTTACGGTTCGATATGCACGAATATCGAAAGGAACCAAGATCTTTGGGTTATAAACTTACATTTCAATCGGATAAAAATTGCGACCTCTACAGGGTCCAAAACCTTGATATACCATATTTTTACGCTATTTGAGAACAAAGGGCAGACATTTTGTCTGTCAATTTTGGGTCGATTTTCACAAAATTTGAACTCAACCCCCTTGGAAAAGGGGGAATAACTCTGGTACGAAAGGTCGTAGAATGTTGAATATTGATAGGGTTTATCCTCTAATGACCACGATGATTCACAGCAAATTTGAAAAGAATCTGTCATAATCAGCAGCCTCTATCCGGTTCACAAGCCAATTGATTGACGGAAAGACCGACAGTCATAATATGCCCACAATGAAATGTAACCTCTATCACATTACTGCCCTAATTGTTGATGGACGGCCCGATACATGCCAATATCGAAAGCAGCCGAGATCTTTTGGAGATAAACCTTTATTTCAAGTTTCGTCAAAATCGGATAAGAATTGTGACCGGTAGAGTGTCCACAAACAAATTGTGGACGGACGGACGTCCAGACCGACGGACGGACAGGGGCGTTGACAATATACGTCCACATGAAAATGTGGGCATATAAAAATTGATGCCTCTTGAGGGGCCACATCCTTGTTATAACATACTTTTGCACTATTTGCATACGTGGAGCGGTCATTTTGTCAAGCAGTCTCGTTCCAATTTTCACAAAATTTAACTCAACCGTCATTATGGTGTAATGGTAATATATGTGAACGGTGCAAAAGTTTGAATATTGATAGGGTTAGTCCATGACAATTCACATCAGACTTGAAAAGAATATGTTGTAAACTATAGCTTCTATCACATTCAAAATTGTTAGGGTCCGTCCCCTCATGATCACGGTGCTTGACACTAAATGTGAAAAGAATCTGTCAAAAACTGTAGCCTCTATCGCGTTCACAAGCCAATTGTTGACAGACATGAAATGTATAAAAATATGTTGAGAACTGTAGCCTATATCACAAGGGTTTTGGAAAAGGGGGAATAACTCTGGTACGAAAGGTCGTAGAATGTTGAATATTGATAGGGTTTATCCTCTAATGACCACGATGATTCACAGCAAATTTGAAAAGAATCTGTCATAATCAGCAGCCTCTATCCGGTTCACAAGCCAATTGATTGACGGAAAGACCGACAGTCATAATATGCCCACAATGAAATGTAACCTCTATCACATTACTGCCCTAATTGTTGATGGACGGCCAGCCGGACTCACGTGGATGACGACATACTACACCCACACATAATTTGGGTGTATAAAAATTTATCAATTACCATAGCTCTTGACAGTAAATATCAGATATCTTTAAAAATTGGCTTTTACGTCTCATAATGTTAAGTCAATCGGATGATAACTTAGTCTATAGAGCATCCACAAGATCTTTCGAATTAAAGATACATTATGGAAGACTTCTCACTATAATAGTTAAAAACCAGATAATGTAAGGGGAATATGCTGAATATTTCAGTCAAATTGCTTCACATTAATCCGAGAAAACTTTATTTTAAAATCATTGTAGCCTCGATTGTTAATTATTGTGACAGCAGCAACGATGACAAAGTCTCGATTATCCATTTTTTTGTTTAATCATCAATGGACGCTGAACAGCAGGTCGGATTCAAATCCATAGAAAATCGGACACATAAGATGTCATCGAGAGTTGATTATGCTCTTTTCATGTTAATAAATGTCTAATTAATAATTTATATAACATTTTAGGCTGAAACAAAGACCTGCAATACGCAGATATACCTCTTGCATAATGCATGTTTAATCAAGTACCATAACTCTGACAGCAATTATTAGAAATTGGTAAATAAATCAGAAACATTCTGACTGCCATAAACTTAAACACTGTGTAAAATTTTCAAAGCAATCGAATGATAACCTTATCTTGTAGAGTTTCCATAAGGCAATTGTAGACGACAGACTCGGGTGACGACCATATACAACCATATTTCAATGTGGGCTTATAAAAATGCCATGATAAAAATAAGTTTATAGTGGATCTAATCCAATATAACAACTTCTGGTAATTCCAAGTGTGGTGGTGTATGTCTTATAATAGAATGATAATCTGAGTTAGTCAAATCTACATGATTATTTGTTCCTAGATGGGATAAATATTTATTTTTCTTAAGCTTGGTCTGTTGAAGGTCACCATTGTCCGAATCAGAGCTACTGATAGAAATGACTGAAATTGAAGATGATGATGGATTAGGTGTAGAATTAACAGATTTGTTAAAATAAACCGGTAAATTAGTAGTTACAAGTTTGTCAACTTCTACCTCGTCTAGTGTTTTACAAGCTTGATTAAATCTATCATCACTGCCACTGTATTTGCATTTATTTTTCGAAGTTAATAAACGTTTATTGTGACCTTCCTGTCTACTTAGAGTAGGCGGTAGTTTGCTATCGTAATTTGGTGATATACATTTAATTGATACATCTTCATCAATTGGAACTAAAACTGGTGGTGTATCGAGATCATCAAATCTAGAATGATGCGAACTTGATCTAGATTTAGTTCTTTCATCATCGCTATCCTCACTATCAGTCATTTGCAACTTTAATGTCCAATCATCTTCTTTATCTTCAATGTTGTCTCTTGAAGATTTAGGTTTACTGATATGAATTTTTTTACCTCTCCATGTTATAGTCAAGCTCTTACGTTCTGGTAAATCAGTAACATCACTTATAGAATAACTCTCAGAAGAGTCTGAATCAGATGTTGAATGTGGACTGTGATCAATTGATGATGTAAAATTCGGAAAGTAGGCTGTAGATGTGTTACTACTAGCAACAGAGACTCTGCTATTAGAACTGCTAGTTGAGACAGTCAAACTATGTCCATATGAATCATCAGTTAATGTTATATTAGCTGTAACAGAACTACCTCTACTTCTGTTTAGTGAGAGTCTTTGTCGTTTCCTACATTGTTCTATAGATGATGTCAGATGATATTCTTCATCAGATCTCTCATAAACATCAACATCTGTATCACATGGTGTAACATAAACACTTATTTTATCAGATGGACACTGGTTTTGTAATTCAGTCTGTCTCCTTTTCTTTTGAGCATCTGTTAACTGTATTCTTTTTGAACTTTTAGAAATAGGACTTTTAGTTTTTGTTGTGCTTGTTTTCTTTCCTGTTTTTTTCTCACTTTCAGCTACAAAAAAGCCAAACAAAACCTTACATAGAAATACAAGCAATTAAGATAGGTTGCCAGGCAACGAAACATACGCCCACAGCAACTAAATCATCAGGGCAGTCAACAAGGGTTGTCGCATATTTTTACTTTTTTCGGTAATGAAACATTTATAATACACTAAAATCTGATTAAGAGCAACAACTCAAGAAGTAATTATCAGAAAACTATTAGAATTTGTTTGGTTTTTTATAAAGTTCTGCCCCATGCTAACGTTTTGTATGCAAAGCTTTTAATATCATGGATTTAACTGTTTAAGTCATAAAAATTCATTGAAAATCAATATACTTGTTCGTCTCAAGATCTTAAACTCTGTGTATCAATCTGAAGTCAATCGGATTATAACTTAAGCCTTTAGAGCATCACAAGATTTTGCAAAGTGATCAAGGGCCATAACTTTGGCAGTAATTATCGGAAATCGTTGAAAATCAATAGGAATCTTCGTCTCATGACCTCAAACACTGTGTATAAATTTAAACTTAATCGGATATTAACTTTAGCCTCTAGAGCATCCACAAGATTCTTTGAAGTGATCAAGGGCCATAACTCTGGCAGTAATTATCGGAAATCGCTGAAAATCAATAGGCTTCTTCGTCTCATGACCTTAAACACTGTGTATAAATTGAAAGTCAATCGGATATTAACTTTGGCCTCTAGAGCATCCACAAGATTTTTCAAAGTGATCAAGGGCCATAACTCTGGTAGCAAATATTGGAAATCGCTGAAAATCAATAGGCTTCTTCGTCTCATCACCTCAAACACTGTGTATAAATTTAAGGTCAATTGGATATTAACTTTGGCCTCTAGAGCATCCACAAGATTTTTCAAAGTGATCAAGGGCCATAACTCTGGCAGTAATTATCGGAAATCGCTGAAAATAAATAGGCTTCTTCGTCTCAAGACCTTAAACACTGTGTATAAATTTAAAGTCAATCAGATATTAACTTTAGCCTCTAGAGCGTCCACAAGCAATTGTGGACGCTGGACCGACGACAATATACAACCACATTTCAATGTGGGCGTATAAAAACGAATTTGTACCAACTATTGCTCAATGCTTCATTCATACAAAATTTGAAAACATCTATTATGATACGCCCACACAGCAGCTCAGCTATGTCTCGACAGCAGTTTATTTGAAAGGTAATCTTGACCAATTTTGACAAGGGATGCCTTAAAGAAATCTGATCTCTGTCGTGTTTACGAGCTTGAAAAAGAGGGAAGGGGGGGGGCGTAACTCTGAAAGTTAACTTCAGGGAATGCTAAATATCGATAGGATGTGTCCTCTCATAACCCCAATGCTTCCCACCAAACTTGAAAAGAGTGGAAATATGCCCACACAGCAGTTTTGAATCTATTAAAAACTGCAGTCATTACCATGTTCACAAGGTTTATGGAAAAGGGGGGGGGGGGTAACTCTGAAACAAAAGGTCACAGAACACTGGATATCAATACGGTTTAAAGATTCGTTAAAAACCATAGCCTCTATCCCGCTCACAAGGTGATTATGTTATATGGAGTGACTTAGGATTCAGACCTGTGAGTAGTTCTGTGGTGGGAACTGAAAGTAATTTCTCGGGGAAGAGAATGAAAAATTCTGTGAATTAATCTGTCGGCGGCCAATAGCTCTGTTCACAGATCAAGTTGTTCTTGTTGGGGCAACACTTTTCGAAAAAGCTCAAGACCAAGATTGAAATGAAACTTGTCATGCTTGTTCCTTGGACATACAGTGTGCTCGTATTTTTCTAATTGTTCAATAGCCATAAATCATGCACATAAATTTTCAAAGAGATCAAGGGCCATAAGCATCTGAAATCGTGATCAAGGGCAGTAGCTCAAAAAGTAATTCCAGGCTTCTTCATCTTATAACCTTAAAGAGTGCACATATAAATTTCAAGTCAATCAGATAATAACTTTAGCCTCTTAGAGCGCCCACAAGATTTATTAAAGTGTTCCAAGGCCATAATTCTGCTAGTAATTATTGAAAATCATTGAAAAGCAATCGGATTCTTCCTCTCATGACCTTAAACAATGTGTATTGGATGATAACCTTTCAATTGTGGAATATACACGGATGGGAGTGATGTCACCATGGTCTATCAAGACCCTATAATTACCTTTCTATAGTTGAATTAATGATGGGTTACCTTAACACTGATATAACATCTTACAGCATAGTCCTCTTAACGAGTATTCTAATAAGAATGTATGTTAATGGTAATATTTTAATACATGTATATAGTTAATATTATAAGCTTATTTTCTAGGTCTATAATCTTCTTTGTATTCTTTTAATATTTTAATCTATGTCTAAATTGTTGTGTTTATGTTAATTGTAATGTAGGTAGCTAAGATGTTACATCTTCAAATATATATAAATGTGAAGAGGGACCCAGAAAGAACAAGTTAGGGAAGAGATACAGTTAACAGGCTACATTTAATTTATGCCAACTCTTGAAATTATACCTCTTTAGTTGGGCATAATTCTGTATACCTATAATATAGTTCTGAATATTGTCTGTTATAATTGTTATTACTGTATCGACATAAAGTACTACAACTAACTGAATCATGTGTTTATGATCTATGAATAAGAAGAGACCACAATGAAGAATTGACAACAGTACTAAGAACCAAGCTGGTTACAGTGACAACAATATACGATCACATCTCAATGTGTGCATAGTCCAGCAGCAGGTCGACAAACCTGGAAACATATAGCCCACCTAATGTTTTTAGATGGATTATATGTGACCACGTATATCAAAGTGAGTCGGAATACGCAAAATCTAATTTTGGACTAGAGACAAAATAAGTGAAAATATTGATTTTGATTGAAATTGAGATTTTCACAAAAATGATTCTATAAATATACTATCTATCGACATAAAAGATCAAAATAGCAATAAAAGATTTATTCATATCATCTTTAAAAAAATAATTTATCAGCCTTAAATGGAAATAAAAAAAATCGCCAATAATTTTCTTTTCGAAGAGAATTTTATTGATAGATGAATTCACTTTACTGTCGCTTCTTCAAACGGCATGCAAAGTAAGGAATGCATCTTGGATATTATTGTTTAAAATTCTCTTATCATCATGGGTCGAAAAAATGAGAATGACCAAAGAGCTGAATTGCGACTATTCTCGAGTCTGTCATTGTTTAATTACATCAAAGCCAGAATGCACGAAAGTGAACGTAAATATCATACACGCAAAATCGTATTAAATGAACACGTGTACAGCTGTGGCGGCTTCTTTGATGATTATCCAATCAACAATCTTAATCTCCTGACCACTAGCTGGCACTAGGGTGCTAATTAATTGATGAGATTAACTGTTAATCTCACCAACGTTATAATATACAAAACAGACTACTAATATATAGATTATTCTTCAGTATAATTAACATTATCATATGAATATGCCGCATGTGTTATGGATGTTTCGTCACGAAAGGAGTCCATTTACTACGATTTTCGTCGTCAGGACCCTTGAAATCCTAAATAAAAACCAGCGGCTGCCAGGCAGGATACGCCCAGATTTTCGAGAGATGGATAGAAAACAAGCTAAAACGAAAGTGATTTTTCTTACAATCAAGGGCCATAAATCCGGAAATTACAATTCGAAATGCGCAAATATCGAAAGGAACCAAGATCTTTGGGTTATAAACTTACATTTCAAGTTTCAACAAAATCGGATAAAAATTGTGACCTCTATAGGGTCCACAACCTTGATATACCACATTTTTACATAATTTGAGAACGAGGGGCAGCCATTTTGTCTGTCAGTTTTGGGCCGATTTTCACGAAATTCAAACTCAGCCGTCCTTAGGGTGTAACGGTGATATAATAATTCGATTTTTTAAATCGGATAAAAATTATGACCTCTATAGGGTTCACAAGCTAAAAACGTGATTTTTCATAGAATCAGGGGCCATTATTCAGGAAGTTTAGGTCTGATATGCACGAATATATCGAAAGGAACCAAGATCTTTGGGGTGTTAACTTACATTTCAAGTTTCAACAAAATCGGATAAAAATTGTGACCTCTATAGGGTCCACAACTTTGAACTCGATTTGAACTCATTCGTCCTTGGGGTGTAACGGTGATATAATAATACGTTTTTTTAAATTGGATAAAAATTATGTCCTCTATAGGGTCCACAAGCTAAAAACGCGATTTTTCGTACAATCAGGGGCCATAATTCAGGAAGTTACGGTCCGATATGCGCGAATATCGAAAGGAACCGAGATCTTTGGGTTATAAACTTACATTTCAAGTTTCAACAAAATCGGATAAAAATTGTGACCTCTATATAGGGTCCACAACCTTGATATACCATATTTTTACGCTATTTGAGAACAAACTGAGGCCAGTTTGTCTGTCAGATTTCCGCCGATTTTCACGAAATTTGAACTCAGTTGTCCTTATGGTGTAACGGTGATATAATAATACAGTTTTTTAAATCGTATAAAAATTATGACCTCTATAGGGTCCACAAGCTAAAAACGCGATTTTTCGTACAATCAGGGGCCATAATTCAGGAAGTTACGTTCCAATATGCGCGAATATCGAAAGGAACCGAGATCTTTGGGCTATAAGCATACATTTCAAGTTTAAACCAAATCGGATAAAAATTGTGACCTCTACAGTGTTCACAAGCTAAAAACGTGATTTTTCGAGCAATCAGGGGCCATAATCCATGAAGTTACGGTCCGATACATGCCAATATCGAAAGGAACCGAGATCTTAGGGCGATAAACCTATATTTCAAGTTTCATTGAAATCGGATAAAAATTGTGACCTGTAGACTGTTCACAAACAATTGTGGACGGACGGACGGACGGACGGGGGCGACGACAATATACGTCCACATGAAAATGTGGGCATATAAAAATATTAAACGACAAAATAGCAAAAAATGGCGGAAATCGTCGGATCAAATTTTTACTATGATT